GTAGAGATTGATGAAAAAAGAACAACGAAGAATGAAACATGCATATTCAATATGAGCGATGTACATTATGAAAATGCAATCATAATTTATTTATGAACACAATGGAATGAAAATCTATGAAAACGAAGGAAAATGCATACCATTTTCATTCGATATATCGTTTTCCTTTGCAAACCCCATGCGACTGCTTACGTCTGGCTGATTGAACAAAGAAAATCACAAGCGAGATAAAAGAGAGAGAAGAAAAAATCGGTTGTTTGTTAGCTGTGTACTTAATTTGATTTGATAATATTTTCATCTTTATGCATCGTTTGCATACAAAGAAGCCAAAGCTTTTTACAGATATTTTCTGTGAATTGCCGATCCAAATCACAAGATAATGATGAAGACGGTGACAACAACAACAACAGCATTCAAATTGTGTATCGATGGCAAAGTTGGAGAAAATTGAACATTGCATGCCATCATCAGATTCGCCATCCATAATCCGGAACACAAAGAATGAATTTACAAAAAGTATTAAATATTATAAAAGTGAGTGAAAAAAGAACAAAAAAAGCGAATGTACATGTTTAGCTGTGTGAAATTGTTGTTTTTCGAATACAGTTCCATCAGCCATCAAGCGCATGCACACACACTTATATTCAATTTGATGTGATGTGATGCTTCTGGCATTTGTCGATGCTTATAGCTCTTTTTTCTATGTGCATGCTTTGATGCTTACCGTTCATTTCATTGTTCTCGTTTCACATAATGTCTTCCTCCATCAAGTCCACTTCCTACATTCTCTTCCTTTTTTTAAAAGAAAAAAGAAAGAAAAAATCGAACAAAAATGTGAGCATTCACTTGTACATCGATGGATGAGACAGCAACAGAATAGAATTGATCGGAAGGAAGAAAATCTATTTGAACGTCTAGAAAATGTGGCCATTAACACTGTGTGATGCGATACCATTGACAATGACTGTTTTGCTCACTAGCCGATCATAGCCGCTTTTATTATCTTTTTTTGGCATTTTTATGTCTTACATTTTGAATAAACGAATTCGATGTAAAATTGAAATCATCATATACGGATGAGACATATATGAGCGTTCTCCGGTATCCTCACTCATTCGCTATCCTTGTTGTTCTGTGTCGATTCGTATTTCACTTGCGTGTGCCATTTCACTTATGATATAAATTCATGAGAATTATACATCACTCGTTTTTCTTCCATCTCGTTTCTTGCCATACACATACATTCTTCTCACTTTGTGTCATTTTTTCTGGTGTTGGCCGTGTCGGTGGGTGTTTGTGTATCCGAATATTTACATTTTATCCCTTTGATATTTTATAACTTGTTTATATTACATATTTATGGAGATAAAGTGAATATTTTATCTTTGTGTATTGAGCCAGAGTGTTTTTGATGTTGGGTATTTTGCGATCGGTAAAACATTTCGAAAGCCAAGTCATCGCATCCTCCCAACCAGCGATTCGACTTCCTATATGAATCATATAAAATATAATCTGAATATTCAATAAAATAACACCAACGTCTCTCAGTGCTCGGCTACACAAATATTGAAAACAAGTCGCTTTTAATTCGTACATGGCATATATGCGAACCGTAAAACGAATGACACAAGCGCCACTATTTCAAGAAATATATATATACATCGATATAGTATACACACGTCAACCCTATAACGTTAGTGATTGTGCGTTAGCGTTCGAATTTAGTATGGAATACAATCCAATAACCTTTTCAAAATATATGTTTGTATATATATATATCGACTTTCGTCTCTTGTTTTTGAAACGGAATATGCGTGTCTTATAGATTATATGGATTTTACATTGCGATCTACAGTTGCCGGGGCGAAATCAGCATCATAAAATCAACACAAAATACGATATCAAAACCTTCAATTCATTTATATATTTATCGGTTTCACGTTGGGCCGCTTTGGCTGCTGTACCATACCATGAGCGTCTCAATTTTCACATTGCCGTCCACATTCGGCATTTCGTTTGCACTTCACATTATTTTACCATCATCGTCAATAGATATACCGTCGATATCGTCAATATTATCATGATTTTGTCTGAATTTTATTATAGCCTCCCCCGTTCGATTTTTCGGGTTCTTATTCATAGTTGCAGGCTTTGTTTGTTGTCTTCTGATATTTACTTTTGTTTGATTCGGATGGCGGCTTGTGCTATGCAATTGCGTTTTTTTTTTTCTTTGTTTTTGTATGTGAAATCGAACACATGCGCATGAAAAATTCTAACCACTACCGCTTTTATCGTTGGTAATGCTTCAATGTACGATTCGTCATGAATGTATCGTTCTTTCCTCATTTCATGCTTTTTATTTTGTGTATTTTTTTTTCATTCTCTCTACTTTCGGTGTTGTTGTCGTGCTGCAGCCGCTGTTGTAGTATATTATGTTATTTTGTTGTTGTTCCTATCACCGTTGTTCGTATTTGATTTTGATAGCTGTATGACTCAACGATCTCTCTTTCTCGCACCCCAACCAATTCAACAGCACAAAATATTTTATACCGTTTTACCGTGCGTCTTTTCCATCGTATGTTGCTGTTTGCGTTTGCCACACCATTAATATTATTATGATTCACTAAATTCCTCTTTCCCGTTTCGCATATGTGCGCCTATGCTATATATTGCACGGCGAGTGTTTTTGTCGTATTGTTTTAGGGGTGGCTTGTCTGTCGCTGCTTGAAACTTGCAGTACGTGCACATTGTCGTTGTCGTCATCGTGATGCCGTCGCTGCTTCTACTGCTGCTGCTGCTGTGGTGAATGTCAGTGTATCAAAAGGTGCTTGCCTGCATTTACATCTGTGTACATTTTTAATGCATACAATGACACACGCCGATCGAAATGAATTTGAAGCGCAGCTTCTCAATACCGTTCATATGTTATATGTGTTGATGCCGCTTGATATTGCCATTGTATTGGTGCACATTGTTCGGTTGCTTAACGAAACCGAAAATAAAATATGAACGGTATGCCAAGCCATTAAAAAAACGGTAAAACTCACGCACACCAAATTACATTCGTTGCACAGCATTTATATTTGAAATATTTTGGTTTTAACGAGAATAGTAATTTACATAATTTTCCGGGGTGATTTAATTCGTTTGCATAAAATGAATGCGTTTACGTATGGGTGTGTGTGTAATACGAATTGATCATTCGTCATAGATTTGTTGTGAAATGAAACGTACGATTGATAGCAAAATGATTAAACAACATGAATATGTACACACTGGTGCACACAACAAATAAGGGTGATCTCGTTCGACTGTTCCATGGCACAAACAAAGACCTCGCCGATAGAGAAAGAGAGAAAGAGAATGTTCGAAGAGCGTACATATTCCAGTGAACTCTCATTTGTGGAGGGGTTGTTTGTCAATCGAGCACGAGGGTATTATTCCATAACTGCGCCTTATCCATTCAACGATGTACATGCATATAAATCGGAAAAATTTTTACCCCTCAAATTTCGAAGTGGAAAGGCAACACACATTTTCGCTGTTTTGGAATAATATGCGTTGGGTCATTGTGTGTGATTCAATCATACATAGAAAATCATTTGCCGAGTACAAATGTGTTGTGTTCGTGCTCGTAGTTGTTGTCTAGTTAATTTTTGGCTGTTTTTATATATATATATATATTCATACATTTTAGTTCGTTGAAAGCAGCATTTCGAATTGCACGTTCGTATTATTTGCCGTGAAAAGTGAATAGGAAAAAAGAGATGCTTTCGCGCACCAATACTTGCAAAACGCTCGCGTCTCTTTGTGTGTGTGAGTGAGACAGATTTTCGAACTCAATTTGTGATTTTCGGAGTGTGCGTTTTTCGGCATGCTGGAAAACGAAGGATATACATCTCTTGTTCCGTGTTATCGTGCAACAGTCAGCATCCAGACATTGTTATGAAATATTATAGACAAACGTTTTACTGTTTTAACCAAAAAAAAAATTAATAAACCCAAGCACCAAAAACACTTATTCACTATTTTACCAAATGTTCGCACACTTTGTTTAGTCAAGTCAAAAAAATAATTACAAAAAAATAAAATAATTAATAAAAAATTTAAACGTTATTTAAAAAAAATCATGGTTACATTTTAAAATACTTCAAATACAACGCAGCCAATAAAATCCACTTCGTATTCAAATTACAAAGCAGGAGATATTTTTTGAAAAGATTAAACATATTAAATAAAATTGTTGCATTGATTTCGTTTCGTTTTTATTTTGAGATAATAAAAAAAATTAATCAAGTGAATAAAATTTTGTTCCCCGCAAAAGTTCCGACTATAAACATCAGCAACACATCAAACATTAAATACATTACGAATAATTGTAACCATACGTTAAAAGATTTATTTTAGTGAAATGAAAAATTAGAGAAAGAAATTATTTTTGACAAAAAAGAAGAGAAAACGTTGACAAGTGTTACTGTTTTTTTTATTTCATTTTATGAATTACTTTGCTCACAAATACAATAATTTAAACGGAAAATCACGGTGAATTTGAAAAGATAGTTTCTCGTGAATGTGCGCTTTTTCGAAAAGATTTACAAACATATAAAAAAACACACATACACAACACGAAATTAACATACACACACAGAGAACTTTCAAAAGCAAAGTCATTTTTCAAACAGGGAAATTAATTTTAAAACCATAAAGAGAACCAATTCTATATCGGAACTAACTCGGTTGTACGTGAACTATTTGAACAATTTTTTTTTCTGTCACTTCTGTTGCTTGAACTTTTGTAATATTTTTTTTTTTCGGCTGAATCGTGTGAAAAACGTTTTGCGTATTTTTTTCGTTTTATCTTCATTTTTTGCTTGCATTCAAGTTTTCGAATCAACCAATTGCCCATTGATAGTTTTATTTTTATGCTATGAATAGAATAAGATAGTATTGCGTCACAAATATACTAAATTTATGTTTTGTTTTTGTCACTTTCATTGCAGGTTGTAATCCGATGAACTAAAGTTGTTTGTTACAAAAATACATCGTGCACGACTAAACAGAACTTTGAACGTGTTATAAAAATAATAAAAGCAAATGTTACGACGTTGTTGTGAAAATTAACAAGAAAAAAAAATACACACACATAGTTAGAAATAAACTCATTTGTTTTGTTTCGTTTTAATAATAAGAAGAAAATAAAGAAGAAGCAAGAACCAAAAAATATTTTGCGAACAAGCATGACAACACCAGACCATAAAAAGTTATAATCAAAACAATAGAGACACAACATTTTCGGTGTGAATGAAAAGTCACAGATGTTTTAGTGCATTTTTCGTCGCATAAAGTAAAAACAAGTTGAACGAGAAAAAAAAGCGTAGTAAAACGCCAACCAAAGAATCAAATAAATTATGTTTGTTGATGGAATGAATTGAAAGAGAGAGAAAAAAGTTGACGAAAATATAAAGTAAATGAAAAACAATTCCGATTATCCAATTACATTCGCAACATAAACATTTAATGCAAATAATCTAAACGACGAATTAAAAAGAGAATAAAAAGTTTTCAAAAAGAAAAATAAAACAATTTGAGCAAACGTCAACGTCGATGCAAAAAAAAAAATCATTTGCCCACCACAAGAGTTTCATTTGTTATTCTAGAATTGCGTCAGTTGAAATCAGCAAAAATTTGTGTCAAAGTGCGTCAATAATTCAGTAAATAGAGAAAGCGACACAGAGAATACGAGAGAACGAGCGAAAGAGAAGACCAAAGTCAATTCGAATTCGAAAAAGAATATTGTTTGTGTACATGATTCGTAGCAATTATCATCAAAATGGCTACATCACCCACACCATCATTTGAATCGCTTCCAGGCGGTAATTCAATTGGATCATTCGGTGAACCAGCTGATTATTTATCTGATTCTCCATTAACATTGAGCGGTTCATCGCCACCAGTCAGCGATTCAGCAATTTGTGACGATTTTAGTAGCGGTTTAGTGAGTAGTTTGGATTCACAATCATCTGGATCGAATAGTTCAAACGGTCCACGTTGTACTGGATGCAAAAGTAAGCAATCTGACGCAGTAGCCAAGTGCATTGAATGCGCAAATTATTTGTGTGCAAACTGTGTAACAGCTCATCAATTCATGCATTGTTTCGAAGGACACAGTGTCTTCCGTATAAACGAGACCAACGGTCAACCAAACACATTGAGCAAACTCATGAATACATTTGAAACGAATCGATTGTCGGTGAATTTAAAAGACGATCAAACAATTGTCAGTAAATTAAGTATGACAACATCAAATGGATCGTCGTCGGGTGTGTCATCGATCACAGATCGTTCGGTAATTGCACCACCACAAGGATCAACAATGCCAGCATCAACACCATCGTCATCATCATCATCGTCATCGATGAATGTCAATGGATTAGATAATTCGATGGCAATCACAACAACAACTGCATCAACAGCTGTTCTATCCGGATCGGCTAATTCAATAATAGGCAACAATAATAAATTGACCAACGGCAATGGCAGCACTTATCATTGTTTGCGTCATAAAAATGAATTGATTAAATTTTATTGCCGTACATGCAATGTGTCGGTATGCAAAGATTGCATGATTAACGAGCATCCAGCCGGTTTACATGAATGCGAACATATCAATGAGGTGACACCAAAACAGGTTGAGAATCTGTTGCAAATTGTAAACGAGGTGCGTAGCAAGGCAGCTGATATGCGAGCCATCATAAAAAGTGCTGAAAATATTTCGGCCCGCATTCAAGGCCAATATACAAAGGCACAAAATGAAATCACCGACACATACCAATTTTATCGATCAATGCTTGACGAACGCAAAACCGAACTACTCAAAGAATTGGAGAATGTTTACAATGCGAAGAATTTATCGCACACCGTATCGACCAGCAAGTCACAGGATCAAGTTGAAAAAATATTGCGTGATTGTGATTTGGTTGAACGTTTTGCTAAAAACGGTGGCATACAAGAGGCCATTACGTTGCGACGGCTCATGGAAAGTAAATTACAATCGTTCTTATCGAACATTCAAGATTTGCAGACATCGTTTGAATTGGATTTCGTGTCAAATTATCAGGCAATCCAAGTTGGCGTACGTAACACATTCGGTTACATTCGTTCAACACCCGAATTGCCGAGCAAACAACAACCACCAATTGCACGTCCAACAAGCAACATTCTTACGAATGGCAATAGCCCGTCCAACAGTATGATCAATTTGCATGTACAATCACAACAACAACAACAGCAGCAGCAGCAACATCAACAACAGCAGCAGCAGCAAGTACAACTTCAACAGAAATCACAACAAGTACTACAACAATCCGCACAGCTATTGAACGGTTGCCAACAGCAACAACAAAATGGCAACAACAGTCTCATGGATCGTGCATTTGCCAATGCATCTGGTTCGATTATTGGTGCCTCACAATCGCAACAAATGATTGGCAGTGGATTCGATTCGAACATCATATCGAAACGTTTCAATGGCGCAAACAGTTTGGGCCCATTCATTCATTCGTTTGGCGAAACAAATGTCACCGAAAATCCATATGAAAAATGGAGCAACGGTGGTTCAGAGAATATCATCAATTTGATTGCCGATCAATATCAAATGCCATTGAATAATTGTGGTAATGGCGTTAATCAAAATGATGCCCTATTGGATTTGACATCAAAATTGATGACCACACCAATGTTCCCGCCAAAGTCACAAATCAAACGCCAGAAAATGATCTATCATTGTAAATTTGGTGAATTCGGTGTGACCGAAGGTCAATTCACCGAGCCAAGTGGCGTTGCAGTGAATGCACAAAATGATATTATCGTTGCTGATACAAACAATCATCGCATTCAAATATTCGACAAAGAGGGACGTTTCAAATTTCAATTCGGTGAATGTGGCAAACGCGATGGTCAATTACTCTATCCGAATCGTGTGGCCGTTGTAAGAACATCGGGCGATATTATTGTTACCGAACGTTCGCCAACCCATCAAATTCAAATTTACAATCAATATGGTCAATTTGTACGGAAATTTGGCGCAAATATTTTACAACATCCACGGGGTGTCACTGTTGATAATAAAGGACGCATTGTGGTCGTTGAATGCAAAGTTATGCGCGTTATTATCTTTGATCAAACTGGAAATGTTCTACAGAAATTTGGTTGCAGCAAACATTTGGAATTTCCAAACGGCGTTGTGGTCAATGATAAACAGGAAATTTTCATCAGTGATAATCGAGCACATTGTGTAAAAGTGTTCAGCTATGAAGGTGTATTTTTACGTCAAATTGGCGGTGAAGGCATCACCAACTATCCAATTGGTGTTGGCATTAATTCAACTGGTGAAATTCTTATCGCTGACAACCATAACAATTTCAATTTAACCATATTCACACAAGACGGCCAATTGGTATCGGCACTCGAAAGCAAAGTTAAACATGCTCAATGTTTTGATGTAGCACTCATGGACGACGGCAGCGTTGTGCTAGCCAGCAAAGACTATCGTTTGTACATCTATCGATATGTTTTGGTACCACCAAACTAAATCGGAACCTCGGACGCAGGACTTCCCAAGAGAACGCAGCTAAGGACAAAAGCTATAACAACAGCAGCAAAAACAACATATAAAACAACAAACATAAACATAAAAACATCAATAACAACAGAAAAACATCTCCACAACGAGTTTCATAGAAACGACAGCGCAGTAAAATTGGACTGGCGGCCAATAATCAGACGTTCCTGAATACATTTAAAGCAACAGCAAAAACAAAGGTAATTAAATGTTAGAGAAAAAAGCATGACGATGAAATAACATGCAAATGAAAATCTAGTTTTACTTAAAACACTTATTGCAAATGCAAATTATGAAAGAATTTCTCAACCTCTTTATTACTGTGTTAAATCTATTATTTTAATTTATATAAAATAAGAGAAAAAGAATAACAATGGCCCGATGAAGTGGAGATTAAATGAAACATAAAAACATAATTATATTATCCAGAATAAGTTTAAACATAAATCAGCTGTGACTGATTTGATGAAATAATGAAAAATCAACGAGCTAAATAAAAAACAGTAAAGAGAAAATTTAAAGAAGTAAACAGGATAAAGAGTCTGAAAAATAACGTTGAGATTGATGGAAAGAAATCAATTATGGCAAAAAAAAAAACAAAACATTAAATTTCAATCGATACTTTAAGCCGTAAAAAAGCTCTTCTGTCTATATTTGCACGCAAAACTTTAACAAATCTGTGTTTGCAAAAAAAAACAGCCAATCTGAGACAAAAACACACACAAACTTAAGCCACAACATTTCTTTCCAATGCAATTTTTGTAAACTTCGCTATTTTTCAATTCAAGCATATAAATGTAGCAAAGCAAAAACAAAAATCCATTCACATAAATGGAATTAATCAGCTTAAGTTTTAATTTTTCTGAATGTTTTCATTAACAATTTTGAAATTGAACGATTGAAACGAGAGAAGAATTAAGCCGAATGAAAGAAAAAAACACAAAGATATACCACAATTTCATTAGACATAGTAAATAACATTGAAAAAAACTGTGTGTAATTTTGAATTATAAGATAAATAATGAATTATTATTCGTAGAAATCGATGCTGTTACAAATTGTGGACAAAAAAAAGCGCGCAATGTGTATGTTATAAGTGATGAAATTGGAAGACGAAAGACGAAGATGAATCAAGCTGGACGGATCACACACTTTCCTGCAGAGATGAGAAACAAAATTAAACAAAATTATGAAAACTAGAAAGAAACCAAATTGATCGACATACTACGCCCATCATCACAATGGGATAAAATTGCATAGAAAAAAAATGCAAAGAGATTTCAAACTGAAACGTTAAATGAATGTATATAGCGAAATTTATTGAATTTTTTGTTTGAAGAACGAAGAGTTTCTTGGCTTAGAAAAGGAAAAAAAATCAAGTGTTTGGCATTTTGTCCATTATACACTTTAATAGCGAAACGAAAACACATTAACTATTGAAAATGGCTTACTTAAAACAAAATGTCTTTTTTTTAAAGAAAACAATTATTCCCTTTATGCATTAACTATATTTACTCGTATTGTATAGCTAAGAAAAATTGAGACATAAAAAAAATGAAAAATAGTTCATAAAACAACAACAAAAAAAAAACACATTTATCGTAACTTAATATGGAATGAAAACACAATTCCATTTCTTGGACTGATTCATACGCCTCTATAATAGCTATTATGAGTTTTTTCTTATGTGTATTTTCTATTTTAATTTTTTTTCTTTGTCTAATTTATCTTTTTAAAATATATATATCCATATATGTTTGAAAAGTAACGCAAAAAAAAAAACACACACACACACACACTATTTAATTTGATTCGATGTTATATGAAGTGAGTGGAAGGAGATATGAAATACAGCCAAACTGAAAGTAAATAATCGCAAATTTAAAATATTTGCACAATTTATTATTGGCTGTAGCAATTATAGTGGTAAATCAATTAGTTGGATATTATAAACAAAAAAAAATGGACTTTCAAAATGAAAATGAAGAAAGGATAGACTATAAACAAAATGATTAATATCATGAAAAACATCGTCGTTAGAAATATTCTGTGTAACACAAGTTTTGAGTGTAGACACCGATGCACTTTTTTATTTAAAGCAAAGACTCTTAAAACCGATGTTAAATTAAAACTAAACTTAAAAAAAAATTAATGAAACTATTATTATATCAATCTTTCACAATGCACACAAGTTGCCAGTTCAGAGAGACCAAGTTCTTATGCCAATGAGAATTATGATTTTTTCGTCATTTTTTTGCTGAAAAATTTACAATGAATGTAATATACTACTTCATCAGACGAATTCTTTCTCATTATACAAAATAATGAAACAAATGAAGCAAAAAAACAGAAAAACAAAAAATTTACCTAAGAATAATATTAAATTATTATGCTCGGATTCCAACAAATTTTACAGTTTTTTCTCTAAATAATAATCATTCAATTTTTTATACTTCAAATTAAAAAAAAAAAATAAAACTGTGCGGACAAACCGAGCATTTTTCTTTTATATATTTGCACACTATGAATGATAAACAAGTGCTTTCAAATTGGATGAAAGACAACAATCTCGAATTTTTTGTTTGTTTGTTCGTTTGTTTATTTATCTGTTTGTTTTTTTTTTGAAGCGAATAAATTAAAGCACATACACATACAAACATATATAACACGAATGTTAATTTTGTTTCGAAATGATACACCGCCGATGATCATGATGATTATGATGAGAAATAGAATTAACTGAAGAAAGATTTTTTGACGAGGGAGACAAGATTATAGAATAGTTGTATATTTTTTTATATGGATAAATTTGAATTATGAATTTTTGAAACAAAAAAAAAATGATAATGAGAGACAAGCAGAAGAAAAACAACAGCAACATTAACAAATTTAAAATTAGTTTAGTGGTTAGAAATTCAAGTCGTGTCAATGTAGTTATTTATATTTGCATTATATCAAATGAACATACACATTCATTGAGATTGGTGACTTTTTAAAGAAAAAGGAACAAAGAAAATCCATTGTTTGCCATGAGCATGTGAAAGTGGGGGGTGTAACGTCCCTTCTTCTGATTCTGTTGCCGATGTCTTAGATGATAGACATGTCATTGAGTTGTGTGCATATTTTGCCATCGCATCAAAAAAAAAACACGAAAAAGCCTTGTTAATAATCGAACTTAAAAGCCGAATGGTGAATTGAATTGGGATCTATCAAAACAAATAAAATATCAGAATATCCGTTCAAATTGTTGTATTGATGTTGTGTAGTCGCCGAACAAAAATGATTAGATATGGTTTTTAGATGAAGCGCGCGAACGAATTGAATTGAAAATGATTGTTGATTTGTTGTATATTTGAATTGATGATTCTCTCATTCAATTCGTACATATTTTAGTTTTGATTATTAACGATGCTTTTGCTCACGTAATCGTATGTGGTCGATACACACAGACACGTTGCACCGACCGAGTTTCGTATACTAAATTCAATTATTCAAAATATGATGCGACGCCAAGTATGCACATCGAATGTTTAAGCACATCGCATACAAAATCATAATAATAAACGGTTGTGTGCTGATCCAATAGCATACACCAAACAAATAAAACCAATATATGCTCATAGGTAAAACCAAACTAAATAAATCAACTAAATATTCTAAATGTTTCAATGTTACATAATTGTATTTAGAGAACACAATTCACAAAAAAAAAACACATACACACAGGCAACAGCAAAAACCGTGGTTTATAGCATATTCAAGTGAAATGTGAAGAAAAAGAATCTTTCTTTTTTCGCCAGATTATAATAATTGTTTTCACCCTTTTTTTCTATCATTTTCTGTTTTCATTTATCGTGTCACAAATTAATTGTCTACAACTACTGATTACAATAAGCCTAAACTAAAGTTTAAAACAACTCAGTTCACTGTGAAAATTTCACGCGAAAATCCCGAGATTCAATGCTAGAATTTAAAATAGATTTTATGACGTGAAATATTATACACACACAAACACATCTAAAGAGTCTGACATTAAATATATATAAAATAGAATCAATTCAGGAATGACAAACAGATGACATTCCTTGCGCTAACGTGAATGAATGCATGAGTTAAAGGGAAAACAAAATTGATACAGGAAAAAAAATAATAGAGCGAGAGAAAAAGAGAGAAGAAAAACAGTCGGGTGGAAGAAAATGAAACACACAAACACTGACTACAACAAACTACATTTAACTAAAAGTTACAATTTAAATACATTCACACATGCATAATTTATACGAAACGAAAAGAAAAGAAAAATGAACATGACAATGGCATCGAATGGAATTTTGTTGATTAATTTTATGCGCTATTTTCTTTATCCATTAATTGTATTATTATTTGATATATTTTTTTTTCTTTTTTGACTTCATTATTATTATAGTATATACCCAAACAAAACTAATTGAAAACCCATGCATTTCTATTTTGTGCGTTTCATATACTAATTATTTTTTTTTCTTTGTATTCGCCGCTTTTGCTCTCATTATATGATTAACGATTTTATGACTTATATTATTCTACTTAAAGAAAACAAGAGAGAAAGAGAGAAAGATAAAGAGAGTAGAAGAAACAAAAACATTTAAGCGATATACAGCGTGTTGTACGGAGTTTTATCCTTAATATTTAGAGAGAGACTTTTTCACTGTCCATATAATAATGTTTAATTTTAACGAGTTCTCGTTTAATTATTGTTTGACAAACGACAGGATTTTACACATTAATAACGTTTAATTTAATTCTTTTTTGTATAAAAAAATAAAGGAAACAAACCTATTTGCTATTCTCAAACAAATGAAACAATCTCGAATCATTTTATTTCAATTTTTTATTTGATCGAAAGCATATTTTCACCCTCTCAAATCAATAAATCATCTTCTTTTTTTGTAATGTTTAGATAAAATGAAAAACTTGTTGATAATTTTATATCTTATATTTAGCTATTTTTTGCCTTATTTTTTTTTGTTTGTTTGCTTTGTTCGTTTGTTTTGTAATAGACAAGAGGAGTTCTTGTGTAGTATTTTTTTTTAAAAAAAGCAAATCAAAATATGTGAAAATCAAAACAAAATTTTCTCTTTGATTCATCAGTTCCTCATATAAGATACATGACAGCAATATTGAACTGTTTGAAGAAAAATTGATTGAAACAAAAAGAGAAAAAGATAAGTGCGAATATTGCAAGTGCTCCATGTCAATGAGTTCTCAATCTCTCCGGAGTTAAGATGAATGCAACAAAACTGGCAAAATTGAATTCAATTTATTTCCTATATTTTTAATAGTATTATTTTTTTATCCTACTTAATAATGTTTAGTTATATTAATTCTTTTTTTTTATTGCATTTGTTCATTGATTGCTCTTAATTTAAAATGTAAGAAGCTAATTACGATGTTTTTTTTTTCCTTATCGATTGTGTATGTGTGATGCTACATTTGAAATGTAGATATTTTCAATATAGAAACAACACGCGATATATTCAAAAACCATTCATGGCAACAAACAGAAAATCAATCAATTACTACAAATGACTGAATTTTTTTTATATTATTATTATTTGTTTGATTTATTATTAATATAATGTGTTTACGAATTTTGTTTTCTTTTGAAAAAAAAAAGATATTCTTTTGTTTATTAAATCATAATTTATGCAAAATGAAGATGAAAAAAACGAAGAAAACCACAACAAATCAAACCAATTGGGTTGAAACGATTTGTGTAGGCTTTTATAATCTCGATTGTTGGTTCAGTTCATATGTAGTTTTTTCTTTCTATGTAGCACTATAGGCGCTAAGGCAAAAATGTGTTTTTTTTATTATGATTATCATTATATTTACAATTGAAAAATTGGAAGATGCGAAAACGGAGGAACATTCATGACGTAGCCAAGCACATACAGTACAGGTTTCCTTAAATGATGATATGACATTTTCCTATCTTTTTTTTTGAATTATAAAACGATGTTCCTCCATTTTCACTTCCTTGCAATTGCATGATCCAAGGAAACTTATTAAGTATTCGTTTTGTTTGTAATTTTAGATTACATGCATTCAAATGATTTTTTGTATTGTTTTTTATTATTATTATTATGATTATTATCACTTTATCATTTTATTATTGTGAATCGCTTAAGATTTTTTTTTAATTAGTTTTTTTTATTCTTTTTCATTGTAAGACATGAAAAATAAACTGAACATTTGTTGAATTAAATGATTTAAAAATAAATTCTTCTGTTGTTTGGCATTAATTTCCATTTTCTTTACAAATTCGGCAGTGATATACACATTTTCAAGGTTTGTGATTATGATTTTTCAGATTCTTTGGTTTTATTGAATTTTTATTGTTTTGTTATTTTCTGTTCGCTCCTACTCTTGTTATGAATTCAATGCATTTTTGTTGGATGAGACCACGAGGAGGAGAGAGAGAGAGAAAATGCAAAAATACTTGATAAACTACACAGTACGAGTACATATGCCATACACTCAATCAAATGTGGGCATTTTATTGTATTGTGTATTCTCAAATTCTAATTAAAACGGTTCAATAAATACTGACTGCAATGCTTTCAATTTGGCCAATTTCAAAACATGAAACCATAAGCACCGACAAAATAAATATAGAATTTACTCGCCCAACATTTTCTAGCATTTTCTGTTGCACTCACCACGAAAATAAAATACACATCAACATTTCCATATAATATAATCAATCTGAGTGAGTCATTTAATTCTCGCACACTCCAATAAATTTGCATTTGGTTTTTGAAAGTCAAGTGGTTTTGCCCGAATCTCAAAACAATTTTTTTTTTTAAATCTCTCTATTATTGAATTTTGAATGGCAATTGGTGCCCAGACGTGAGAATGTGAGAGAACGATAGAGATGAGAATAGGGGGGAAATGCCCAAATATTGCTTTCGTGTTGAATACGCATTTTACATAAATCTGTATTGAATAGAGCTCACCTTTGACGAGATCCTTTTTTTTGTGTTTGTGTGTCGGAGATTTCTTAATTACCAAAATTTCGCCCATTATTGAATACGGTCGAACAAAAAATATCCCCGCAAAAAAACCAAATAAAATGATAGCCGAAAGCATATCAAGGCAACAACACAGATGAAGTAGAAACCATTTGAGATAAGCGAACAATTGGCCACGAGAAATCGTTGTGAATGTATGATTTGCATTTGTTGAAATGGCGGAATCTTCTCCGTATTGTACGTTTGTGTTGTTGTTCGATTAAGAAAAAAAAAAAAAGTAAAAATAATAAGCGACGCGTGCTTGTGTTTTATTTGAATAAAAAACCAATCTGGATCCCAATAATCCATTTTAATTGTATATTTCATTCGTTCAATCACTAGCGCTCGTATTTTTTAGTAGATTTGCGTCCACGCGCCCGCACACATATACAACCTTTTTTATTTGTTCTCCCCATCGTTCGTGGAATATTTATTCGTCGTTTTATTTACGTGTTGGTCTTTTTTTTTGCACTCGGAGACAGAGAGTGTGCACCCGATTTTAGATTTAATACGAACATACATATTTATGAGTATGAGAGAAAACGACGAATTTTCAGTAAAATCCAATTTTGCCGTAAAAATTACCCACACCATGCACGTTAATATTCAGTTTAGCGTCTGTATGAAGACAACGTTCAATGCGTATGAAAAGGCCAGGAGGTGGTGGTACACATGGAGTGAAAAAAAGAGCAAAAGTGAAAAAGAAACGAGAAAATGAACGATACATTTTTTGCCTCATCGTCTTTCTTTCAATCATTAAATGCTAAAGTAACGGCCAAAAGTTAAAATATACAAGCACACTGCCATAAATGTGATGCGATCCCTTCGTCGTCCATATAATCAATGCAAATTAATTTCCATATTTTTTCAACTTTTTTTTCTCGCAATTTTGTGTAGTGTTGTTGCTGATTTCAGATTGCTCCGCTTCTCTTTCGTCTTATTTCGAAATATATATTGTTATTGAATTGCTGGTCGTTGTTTCTCGTTAAGGTACATGTCTCGAAAATTTTCCGGTATTACATGATGTCAGCGCATTAAATCAAGTAGACTGAAAGAGAGAAAAAAATCTATGTCCAAATGAATGAAACGCAAAAATGACGTGGAAAACCCTCATTCAATCATATTTAATGTCCATAATAAAATGTGTATAAGCAAAAATATTGCCCTTTTTACTTTTGACCGAACAATATAACAATACCTACGAAAAAAATTGGCAACCCAAAACAACACTGGTTTAAAAGAATGTAATCAGTGCATGTGTGTGAGTGTTCGAATTTTCAAGGATATTAGAGACGGGGACAGAGAAAATAGTGTGACGATAAACAAGAGGTTTTTCCATTCATTACACCCAGTGTCGCGTACATATTTGCCAAATGTGCCACCAAATGATCCTCACATTTAGCAATCCATCCATGTCAAAGTCAGCCAATTCAATTTTTTCGCCACGCGAGGTGGTGGTAGTCTTTTTTTCTGGCATTTTTTTCACCATCTATATCATAAAACAATTTTTCTCTTTATATTATCCAATGTTGGAAGCTGTTGCTTTTATTAAACGTGCTTGATTTCCCGATACAATGCAATTAGCCGACGGAAAAAAAATTACACTGTCGTCCATCAACATGAGAAACAATGAAAAAAAAATGTGAATTAAACGCGACATTTTTTTTTTCTGTCAAAACAGTAGATTCAACTTCTGTATAAATACAATTTGTCGAGCTGGAAGAAGAATTTAATGCATACATAAGCCACGGACTACATGATGAACAATTTTAATTTCTCACACTTGCCTCTTCGTCACAGTATTCGAACCAAAGTGAAAACTCTCCTAATTCATTTTAATTTATGCACCATACCGCATACACATTATACATCGATTGTGATTATATAGCTCTTAACTGTCATCAGCAATGATGAAATTGTACTCAAGCTCATCGTTGACGGAACTGAGCGAGAAATAGGGAGAGGGAGAGAGGAGGAGTGAAAGAGAGAGAGAGAGAGAGAGAGAGAGAGAGAAGAAAAGAGAGGGAGATAGAGCTTAATTTTCGACTTGGCCTTTTCAGTGTTCCATATATTACGAATGCTAAACGTCGGCACTTGTCACATGTTGCAAACATACACGTTCGCTCAGTGGCGTTTGGAATTTTTCTCTCTGATTATTTTCCTTTGTGTTTTTCACCATCAATTATACAATTCGCTTATGTCATCCATCGTATGCACTTTAAATCTCACGTACAAGATTATTTGAAGGAGAAATGCCAACATACCATTTTACATACAGCATAAACCCTGTTGCATATTCAATTATAATGGATGAAGACAGGTGGAATGCCATAAAAAAGCACAAAAAAAGAAAAGCACTTTAGATTTCTTATCAAAATTCCAAGTAATTCTTCGCAACATGATTTGACCAACAATAAAAGTCCATTAGCAATACATGAAAGTGATTTACACAAGTGGAATTTGAATTTAAAAAGCTCTAAAAATGTTTAATACACTTACAAATAAAAGCAGGCTCATTGAAAAGCCTCGTAATATAGTCTGCCAGAGGCGGCGAAAAAGAATTAATGATCCATCGCTGCAAATACACTGAATAGAAAACATAAACGCAACAATTGGCATGAAACCATTCATTGATATAAATTGGTGTATAACATTGAAACGAGCGACTTCGTTGCCGACTTTATTTAAACATGATCTATGAGCCAAAATAGAGTATTGAATGTTACATGGCCAAAAACAAATTGCAAATGTTTTTATTTGCTCTTATTTTTTACACAATAAAAAACAATTCATATTGCAAGCGGTGTGGCAACAAAATTCCGCTCG